CTCCTTTCACCTGACTGGTCAGGCCACTGAAATGGGGCAAAGTGTAGAAAGGGTCAGGGACATGTACCCACAGCAGAGATGCTGCAGGAGCCGAGGATCAGAGAGGCTGAGTTGGGAAGGATGCCCTGAAACTGTCAGATAATGTCCCCTGGTGCTATATATATATATGTACTATACCCACCCTCTTGCCTTCTATGGGAAGCCCAGTGCCAAGAAAGTATCAACTGACAGCTCCCAGGGATGCAGATAACGAATTAAAATAGTAAATTAAATGCAGGTAGCTCTTCCCTGTGAGGGTGGTGAGGCCCTGGCACAGGTTGCCCAGAGAAGCTGTGGCTGCCCCATCCCTGGAAGTGTCCAAGGCCAGGTTGGACGGGGCTTGGAACAACCTGGGCTAGTGGAAGGTGTCCTTGCCCATGGAAGGGGGGGTGAAACAAGATGGTCTGTGAGATCCCTTTAACCCAAACCATTCTGTGTTTCTATTCCCCCAGGGGAGCCAGCATGGCCAGAGGACACAAACTCCCTGAGAAAGGAGAGGCTTTGTCTGTCTCACATTGAACAGCCATCAATGCCCAGAAGGTGAGGCCACCTCTGCAGGTGGGTGCAACCATCACCTGTCCCTCAGCCTTGGCACAGAGGAGACCAAGGGTGCAGGTGGGGGCATCATCTATTTCTGTGCCAGCCTGACTTAGCTTTTCTGCTGTGCTTTGTCTTTCCTTCCAATTTCCTAGTGCATAATTATCCCTTTGTCTGTGGCTGAGTGGGTGCATGAACTGGCATCTTCTGAGAGCAGACCTCTTTTAGGTACTGAGGTTAGTCATGGTGAAAAGGTACATTCCCTAAAAAAAAAAATTCCTCTGAAAATGTAGGAAGTATATCTGCAAATACAAATAAATACAATATGGTATATTAAATTGACTTTAAAAGGTGCCTTCCAACCCAAACCATTCCATGGGCCTAAATATATAAATACAGTCACTTACTTCCTTTCCATACGTTCTACCTCCTGTGTTTTAAAAGCTGAGCTTCCACACTACAAGGAAGGTGGATGGGCCCTCTTTCCCCTTTAACAGCCACCAAAGACAAACACTTCATGGCTTCTGCTGTGTTGGAACCTGAGGATCTGCTCTTTGCCTTTTAGCAGAGCTGTGGCTGGATGGGGGCTGCTGCAGCAGATCCACCATCTGAGCCAGGGGATGGTCCCCAGGGGACTCGGCTCATGATGTGCCACTGAAGCAGTTCCATGCTGCTGACTCAAGGAGCACTGGGAGGATGGAGAGTACCCAAAGTCCAGGATTTTCCCAGCCTTAGCCTGGTTTAGAGTGTGCCTTGCAGGCTCCTGGGGGAGAACGACATCATCCCGCTGATGCTCCGCAGGTGATCCGGAGCTGAATCAGCCCCCCCCCGGGTGTGCAGGAAACATTCCACTAATTATAAAACAATCTTGAATAATGGCATATTAATGAGGACAGGGAAAGGTGATGCTCTCAGGATGGGCTTTCCCACTGCTGGGAGGAGGAGGGAGCTGTACAGAACTGCTGCACTTGGAAGGGGCAAAAAATCATCCCATCAAAGGACTGAGGCTTGGGCGTAAGGAACCCCAGGAGGAAGGAGCGTTTTTCTAGCTCTGGGTCTGTTTCTTCTGCAAAATTCACTGCTACTCCTGCTGAAGGTGTTGCCTCCAAGCTCTCTGCTCTCTGACCTGCTCTTCTGCTCCAATTCAAGTCCTTTTGGCTCCCTTTTCCAGCCACATTTCCTAGGCTGTATCATTTCTGCCTCCCTTCATCTCCCCTCTTTATCCCTCATTTTTCCAACCCATCAACTCTACCTTCCCCTACTTTCTGCCCTACCAAACGCCCTGCTCTTCTCTACCTCTCAGCATCTTCCCTCACCTTCATCCACCTTCTTTTCTCCATCTCTCACAAATACCTGTTGTATTCTGAAGAGCATCAGCCCCGGGGATGGGAAGGACGGTGCCCACGGAGGAGGTTGTGCTCCCCTATCTAATAACATATGTATCAGGCACCTTTCCCTTCAGCTGGCAGCCTTGGGAAGCCCAAGATGAACCTTTCAACAAGATTAAAGAGATGGTATTAATTGCTATCGATCACAGGTCAACAAATTAAATTGCATCTGCAACTGCATCTCTGAAAGGTCTAAATGAGAAGAGTAGTTAATGGGTCTGGCTGGCCCAGAGCTGTGATTAATTAAAGGCAGAAATGAACTACAACGTTAAAAAAAAAAAAAAACAGAAAGGAAGGATACTGGGATGAGGATGAAACTCTGTGGTGTATCTGGAGAGCACCTGATGGGATTTCAGTTCTGGATCCACCCCGGCCTGCAATGGGCTGAGAGGAAGCAGAGCCAGTGGCAGTGATGTTTGGGGCTACTGCTCCAAGCACACCAGTGCTGTGGAAACACTGCTCACCTATGATTGGCAACTCTTCCACACGAAGAGTGGAAGTTTTCCCAGAAAATCTGATCTGTGCCTATTGCTTCTCCATGCAATCCCAGACCTTGCTCTGCTGACGCCACGGTGCACAGGGAGAGCTGTGGGATCCCTCAGCAGGACTGACACCACTGGATTTGGGGGAATCAGATCCTTTCTGTGGTCCCAGCAAGCATCTCATGGAGACCTTGCAGACACCTCTGCAGGGCTTTCCCTCATGTCACCCACCCACACACTCCAGCTCCCTGTGCGTGGTCCATGGCATGTCCCCTGCCAGCAGCTTTTTATTTTCCATTTGTTTCAGACACAGTGCCCTGAAAGGGTGAAAGAAAAAAAAACCAAGCTTAGCAATTGCTTAGCAATCCCACCGCTTGTCCCATGCTGGTCCAGCACTGCAGCATCCTGGTGGCAGCTGGGAGAAGAGTACTCCTGGGTGGGAATAAGGGCGCTACAGTGACTCCTTGGGAAATAATGAAGTAGCACAGCATGGAATGGAGATGGTGCTTAATTAATAATGAAGAAAATAATAATATGTGGCACGTATAGAGCTGTACTTGTTCCAAGCGCTGTACAAACATTAACTACAGTAATTAAGCTGTAATTAATTGGAGTAACTACTAATCAGTGTAAATAATGATGCATCTGGAGGTACCAAATGGAGTTTGTGAACTGAAAGCAAATTTCCATGTTCAGGAAATGGCATCAAATATAAAAATGGCACCAGAAAAAGGCAAAACCAGATGGAGGTTAAAGCGAGAGCCTGGGAGCCGTGTCAGTCCATGGCAGCTCCCAAAAAGGGAATCCCTGTTTGGCAAAGCAAAGCTGCTTTACTGAGTTATGGCTGAGATGCTCCCTGGGCAACACATCCTGTCCATGGGACTCCTGTGGCTATTCCCAGGCTCCAAGCCCACTCCTCCCACTCCAGCAATGCTCACCAGCACTGTGGAGAGCCAGGGGCTGGAGCGAGAGATGAGATGGGGAATTGGGAGCTTGAGGGGCTGATGATCAGCAGAGTAAAATACACCACAAGTATATAATTTTGGGTTTTTTTGCTGGTTTGCACACTTTATATTTAACAAAATAATTTTTTAATAATATAGTCTTTTACACATCAAATATTGTTTCTAGGATACCTTGACCCCATTTTTACAGATTGTTATTTTCCTCACTAGTTTCAGGCACACTATTGTTTGAAAGTTTTGAAGCCGGATAGTCATTGACAGGCAACAGCTCACACAGGAATGTGGCGATGGCACCTCTGATGCTCAGCCTGCAGGAAGCCAGTGCTCAGCTGCACCACAGCAGTCGCTGTGCTCATGCTCATCCCACCCCTGCCCTCCATAAAACACCAAAATGGGGAGGAAATAAAAATGTAAAGGCAGCAGTGTGTATGAACCAAGCCCGATGTGCTGATCCGCTGGCAGAAGATGCTCTAGGGGGGATCTGCGGCCGCCGCTGCCGAGGGCAGGTGCTGCACTGAAGTCTGAACTCTCAACAAAACAAGCACCATCACCCTCGTGGCCACGACCAAAAAAAGCAGGGAACCAAGCGAGGACAGTGATGGGAAAGGCTCCTGTGCTCACCTGGGCAGGCAGAGCAGGGAGATGACGTTGGTGGCTTTTCTTTCACAGGATCACCTGGAAGCTGCAGCCTGAGAAAGCAGGAGGTGCCAGTGCCGAAAAGCCCGACGGGATCCCTTGACTGCAGGTGGGGACCATGGGGACCTCTCCTCCTGGCAGGCAGGCATGGAGCTGCTCCTAGAGACACCCCTCACCAGGAGGCAATTCCCATGGATGTGGCCAGCCCAGCCCCATCTCCCTGTGCACTGTGGCTTGCTTTATCCCCAGCAGTATGGATGCTCCCAGGTAGAGCCAGGGCAGCTCCTTCCTGCTGCAGCAAAGGGTCTGTCTGCCAGCTGAGCCAGGTTAGTGCTATGGGACATTCCTGGAAACCTCCCTGTGTGTGGGGATCAGGTACGTGTGACCTGTGGGGATCAGGTACGTGTGAC